CTCAAACTCATCCACTAACCTTTGCAATTTTTCTTTAGAATCTCCCAAAGCACAGTATCATCAGCAAAAAGTAACTGTGTCAATTCCCATTTTGAATTTGATTCCCCATAATTTAAATCCACCCCTCTCCCAAACACCCTAGCATTACTTTTTTTACAACCCATCTATAAATATATTAAAAAACCCATGGTGACATTACACATCCCTGTCTAAGACCTACTTTTACCGGGAGTATTCTCCCTCTCTTCTACACACCCTAACCTGAGCCTCACTATCCTCATAAAGGCTCTTTACAGCATTTAGTAACTTACCACCTATTCCATATACTTGCAACATCTGCCAATTGCTCCTCTACCCCTCTATCATATGCCTTTTTCTAAATCCATAAATGCAATAAAAACTTCCCACCTTTATCTAAATACTGTTCACATATTGCTTCAATGTAAACACTTGATCTACACACCCCCTACCCCTCTGAAGCCTCCTTGCTCATCCACAATCCTACATTCTGTCTTACCTCTAATTCTTTCAATTAAAACCCCTTTACCGTATACTTTTCCTGGTATACTCAGTAAACTTATTCCTCTATAATTTTTACAATCTCTTTTTTTCCCTTTCCCTTTATATAAAGGGACTATACATGCTCTCCGCCAATCCCTAGGTACCTTCCCCTCTTTCATACATTTATTAAACAAAAGTACCAACCACCCCAACACTATATCCCCCCCTGCTTTTAACATTTCTGTCATGTTTCCCATCAGTTCCAGCTGCTTTACCCCTTTTCATTCTACGTAATGCCTCACGTACCTCCACCACACTTACATCCTGCTCTTCTTCACTCCTAAAAGATGGATACCCCCCTGGCCAGTGCATGAAATTACCGCCTCCCTTTCTTCCTCAACATTTAAAATTTCCCCTCAAAATATTCTCGCCATCTACCTAATACCTCCCTCTCCCATCTACTAACTCCCCTACTCTGTTTTTAACTGACAAACCATACTTTCCCTAGGCTTTTCTTAACTTGTTTAACTCACCCCAAATTTTTTTTCTTATTTTCATTAAAATTTCTTGACAGTGCCTCTCCCACTCTTTCACTGCTCTCCTTTTGCACTCTCTCACCACTCTCTTCACCTTTCTTTTACTCTCCATATACTCTCTCTTCTTATAACACTTCTGCTTTGTAAAAACCTCTCGTAAGCTCCCTTTTTTTCTCTTTTATCACACCTTTACTTCATCATTCCACCAATCACTCCTCTTTCCTCCTGCCCCCACCCCCCTATAACCACAAACTTCTGCCCACATTCTAATATTTCATTTTTAAAACTATTCCAACCCTCTTAAACCCCCCCCACTACTCATCTTTGCACTAGCCCACCTTTCTGCCAATAGTCGCTTATATCTCGCCCGAACTTCCTCCTCCTTAGTTTATACACTTTCACCCCCCTCTTACTTGTTGTTGCCACCTTCCTCTTTCCCATCTCCTCTTACTCTAACTTAGCTACAACTAAAAAAATGATCTGATATATCAGTTGCCCCTCTATAAACATGTACATCCTGGAGCCTACCCATAAAACCTTTTTATCCACCAATACATAATCTAACAAATTACTTTCATTACGTGCTACCCATTTCCCTTTTATATTTATTTATCCTCTTTTTTTATAAAATATGTATTACTTATTTCCCAAAATTTTTTTCTACACATAGCTCAAATTAAAGGCTCCCCATTTACATTTACCCCTGGCATCCCAAATTTACCCACTACTCCCTTATAACATTTTTAACCCACTTTAGCATTGAAAACCCCAACCACATTACCTCACACTTGATTTAAAACTCCCAACGCATTCACTCAACATTTCCCAGAATCTCTTTTCTCTCCTCTACACTTCTCTCTTCTCCAGGTGCATACACGCTTACTATAACCCACTTTTTCACATCCAAACTTTATTTTACTCCACATAATCCTTGAATTTATACATTTGTAGTCCCTCTTTTCCTGCCATAACTTATCCTTCAACATTATTGCTACTCCTTCTTTAGCTCTAACTCTATTTGAAACCCCTGACCTAATCCCATTTATCCTGTCCATTGAAAATTTTCCCACCCCCTTCAGCTTTTTTTCACTTAAAGCCAGGACATCCAGCTTCTTCTCATTCACAAACATCCACAATCATCTCTTTCTTATATTGCACAACATCCACGCACATTCAGACTTCCCACTTGACAATTTTCTTCTTATTTCTTTTTAGTAATCTTTACAGGAAAGGGGTTACTAGCCCATTGTTCCGGCATTTTAGTTGACTTTTACAACACGCATGGCTTACGGAGGAAAGATTCTTATTCCACTTTCCCATGGATATAAAAGGGAAAAATAATAAGACCAAGAACTATTAAAATAAAATCAAAAAAATTCAGATGAGTGTGTAATAAATAAATTAAATATATATATATTTTATATATATATATATATATATATATATATAATATATAAAATGAAAAGAGGAGAAAGAGAAGAAGAGGAGAGAGAGAGAGAGAGAGAGAGAGAGAGAGAGTGAAGAGAGAAGAGAAGAGAGAGAGAGAAAGAGTAGAAAGGGAGAGAGAGAGAGAGAGTGAGAAGAGAGGAGAGGAGAGAGAGAGAGAGAGGGGAGAGAGAGGAGAGAGAGAGAGAGAGAGAGAAGAGCCTATGTTTCAAACACAAACTCTCACACTTCTTACTAGCAATATTTTGTTCAACAGAGTGTGGGGAACTGAGATAAGAAATTCCTGAAAGATTAGAATTCTTGGTTGCGAAACTCTGGCAAAGTGGAGGTGTTTCCTGCTGCCTCGGGTGAAATTAAGAGAATGTTAAATAGGCGGGTTGTGCAAGACGGGAGATCTTGCTGGAGGAGTCTTCTTAGTCCATCCTTTCTGGACTCGAAAGAAGGTGGTGACCTGGGAGGAGATGGAGAAAGAGAAAGAGGAAAAAGAGAGAAGAGAGAGAGTAAGGAGGGGGGAGAGAGGAGAGAGAGGAGAGAGAGAGAGAGAGAGAGAGAGAAGAGAGAGAGAGGGGGCAAGATACAGAGACAGGAGGAAAAAGAGGCAGGAAAGACCCTCGCGATTTCCCACAACACAAAGATTATAGTTTATTATTCTCTTTTGTTCCCCCAGCCCGGGGGTACAACACATCGATAATACCAGACGAGTGTCACATTTGCAACAACAGAGGCAGTGCTCTATGTCCCTGATGGGTTTAGCGCTTAGTTTTGATTATAATAATCAGCAGACACAACCAGACCTACTACTCAATAGAAGACTAAAAAAAAAAAAATTTCTCTATTACAGTATTAAAAAAAATAGATTTACTCGCAAATTTCGTTTTCCGGTGATGTTGTCTGAAGGATTTTACGTAGTTCTTATGTATATATATAGCTGCGTGAGTTATCCCTGAAGGCGGTGTCTTGGCACTAGTGATGGGATCTTGATCCAAGGCTTGCAACCTTCCCCTTTCTCAGATCAAACCTGATTACAGTACTTCCCATTCCCCAGTACCTGTGTGATCATTCCTCAGCACCTGTATGATCATTCCCCAGTACCTGTGTGATCATTCCTCAGCACCCGTATGATCATTCCCCAGTACCTGTGTGATCTTTCCCCAGCACTTGTACGATCATTCCCCAGCACCTGTATGAGCATTCCCCAGCACCTGTATGATCATTCTCCAGACCTGTATGATCATTCCCCAGCACCTGTATGATCATTCCTCAGCACCTGTATGATCATTCCCCAGCACCTGTATGATCATTCCCCAGCACCTGTATGAGCATTCCCCAAGCACTGTATGATCATTCCCAGCACCTGTATGATCATTCCCCAGCACCTGTATGATCATTCCCCAGCACCTGTATGATCATTCCCAGCACCTGTATGATCATTCCCCAGCACCTGTATGATCATTCTCCAGCACCTGTATGATCATTCCCAGTACCTGTATGATCATTCTCCAGCACCTGTATGATCATTCCCCAGCACCTGTATGATCATTCACCAGCACCTGTATGATCATTCCTCAGCACCTGTATGATCATTCCCCAGCACCTGTATGATCATTCCCCAGCACCTGTATGAGCATTCCCCAGCACCTGTATGATCATTCCCCAGCACCTGTATGATCATTCCCGCACTGTATGATCATTCCCAGCACCTGTATGATCATTCCCCAGCACCTGTATGATCATTCCCAGCACCTGTATGATCATTCCCCAGCACCTGTATGATCATTCTCCAGCACCTGTATGATCATTCCCAGCACCTATGACATCCCACACCTGTATGATCATTCCCCAGCACCTGTATGATCATTCCCCAGCACCTGTATGATCATTCCCCAGCACCTGTATGATCATTCCCCAGCACCTGTATGATCATTCCCAGCACTATGATCATTCCCAGCACTGTATGATCATTCCCCAGCACCTGTATGATCATTCCCCAGCACCTGTATGATCATTCCCCAGCACCTGTATGATCATTCCCCAGCACCTGTATGATCATTCCCCAGCACCTGTATGATCATTCCCGAGGCCCAGTATAACCGGTACGGGCACATTCCATCCTTATAGATATACATGTAATAATAATAATAATAATAATAATAATAATAATAATAATAATAATAATAATAATAATAATAATAATAATAATTATAATAATAAATTAATTACTGTTAATAATTGTTAATAATAATGTTAATAATAATTGTTAATATTAATAATGTTAATAATAATTGTTAATAATAATAATATTAATAATAATAATATCAATAATAATTGTTAATAATAATACTCAACTAGTATTAAAATTTCGCATAATATTGTCCACAACTTCAAGACATGAAAAATTTCTCCTTCTAGTATCGGCCATAATAGACGGTCATATACCGTGACACCCGCTGTGACACCCGCTGTGACACCTGCTGTGACACCTGCTGTGACACCTGCTGTGACACTGTGACGACTCACCTTGTATCCGGAGTGTTACTACTGCTGTGTGTGCCTGAGGGAGGTATGACTGCCGTGTACGTGAGGTACCAGCGCTTGCTGTGACACTCGAAGTAAGGGTAACTCCACAAACCCAGCGACCCAGGATTCCTCTGTTGTTGTAGCCTGTGTTCCCACGACCTGTTGCTCCTGTCCTCGTACCACGGCTGGCTGATCACGTCTGACAGCTGAATAATGTGACACGTGAAGAATGAGACACTTGTTCAATGTTAGGGAATCTGTATTGTGGAATTGTTTCGCCAGCCAGTGGCTTTCTCAGTCCAGTACAGAGAAGCCTGGAGTCGATGTGTTCAGTCCTTCAGTCTTGATGGGCCGAACACATCGACTACTTGCTGAGGGACTGATTACTTCAAAGTCCTCATCTTTTATCGTTCTTCTCTGTATTGGACTGAAGAAGCCACCAAAACAAAGATTGCACAAATGTCTAATTTTTCAAAATTTCGGTTTTCTAAGTCATTTACATCACAAGTGACAGTTACAACTAGTAATTATAAATGACTAGTGAAATCGCAATGACAGGATTGTATACAACTCACTAGTTAGTGCTGCATAGTACATCACTTCTCCTTTTCTCTCTGATAGACAATGGTAAAAGTCAACAGAGAATCCTTTAAATAGACAATGGTAAAAGTCAACAGAGAATCCTTTAAATAGACAATGGTAAAAGTCAACAGAGAATCCTTTAAATAGACAATGGTAAAAAGTCAACAGGAATCCTTTAAATAGACAATGGTAAAAGTCAACAGAGAATCCTTTAAATAGACAATGGTAAAAGTCAACAGGAATCCTTTAAATAGACAATGGTAAAATTCAACAGAGAATTCTTTAAATAAAACGTTTCCCCAAGGCGAAACATTGTTTCCAGTGTCTTTTATTTCCATTAGAGAATATTTTTATTTGTCGCCATTTCTAGACACATTTCCTTCCTGTTCTGCCTCAGATAATTGTCCATTGTTCTATCTTGTGTTCCTCCCTCACTACGTCTCCTCGCTACCCTCTCTCACTGCCTTCCTCTACACCTTTCCCTCACACCCCAGCCTCACACCCCAGCCTCACACCCCAGCCTCACACCCCAGCCTCACACCCCAGCCTTACACCCCAGCCTCACATTCCAGCCTTACAAACCCAGCCTTACATCCCAGCCTCACCATTCCAGCCTTACACCCCATGCCTTACACCCCACCTCACATCCTAGCCTTACACCCAGCCTTACATCCCAGCCTCACATTCCAGCCTTACACCCCAGCCTCACATCCTAGCCTTACACCCCAGCCTCACATTCCAGCCTTACACCCCAGCCTTACACCCCAGCCTCACATCCCAGCCTTACACCCCAGCCTTACATCCCAGCCTCACATTCCAGCCTTACACACCCCAGCCTTACACCCCAGCCTCACATCCTAGCCTTACACCCCAGCCTTAACACCCCAGCCTCACATTCCAGCCTTACACCCCAGCCTTACATCCCAGCCTCACATTCCAGCCTTACACCCCAGCCTTACACCCCAGCCTCACATCCTAGCCTCACACCCCAGCCTCACATTCCAGCCTTACACCCCAGCCTTACACCCCAGCCTCACCACCCCAGCCCACATTCCAGCCTTACACCCCAGCCTTACACCCCAGCCTCACATCCCAGCCTTGCACCCCAGCCTCACATTCCAGCCTTACACCCCAGCCTTACACCCCAGCCTCACACCCCCAGCCTCACACCCCAGCCTTACACCCCAGCCTCACACCCCAGCCTCACATCCCAGCCTCACACCCCAGCCTTACACCCCAGCCTTACACCCCAGCCTCACACCCCAGCCTAACACCCCAGCCTCACACCCTAGCCTCACACCCCAGCCTTACACCCCAGCCTCACACTCCAGTCTCATACTTCTCTCACAATAACAATTCTTCAGCGATCTATCACGATTCAGTGAAACTGGGAAGTATAACTTTTATAGAATGGACTGGCAGTGGTATGAGATACCGACAGGATAACAGGAAGACAAAAATGAAGTTACACAGAATCTTTATTGATAACGTTTTGCCCTCACAGTGAGCTTTATCAAGTCAAAAACAGTAACTGTGACATCTCAAGACCTCTAGAAATACATTTCGGAACACCAGTATGCCAGGAAGACGGACAACGTAAACATCACTTGCGTTGACCTTGTAAATTTCCACTGTCGTTTGATGAACTTGTATAGAACACTATTAACTGCCAAGGAGAATGACACTAGGAAATTCTGAATCAACAGCCATCAATATTTCTAAAAGAATTACGGTTTTTAAAGCTCAACCAAACCTCTAGCTAAGAAACCCCAGCTGTGAACTGTGCAAGCTTATCCTGTGGCTGGGCTTATCCTCTGTGGCTAAGCTTATCTGTTTGTGACTTGATAAGGTCCTCAGCCTGGGCAGCACTTGGTCAATAACATTTCCACGTAACTCCATTCGTGTCTCTGTTATCTTATATTTACTATGAGAAAGGCAGGTAACTAATATATTTGCTATATTATTCATGGTATACACGTATGCAACACTTGGGTATCTTCATTGTCGAAACGGCTAAAGAATTGAACACCTCAATGATAAGTCTTTTTTGCACTGTCTTCAGAATTAAAATCACTTTTATGTTTGCGTTTTGCGTAGGCAAAACGTTTCGGCAATAAAAAAAAGCACTGAAGTGTTGCATATATGTCTTATTCATCTACTTGGGACAGGGTTTTGCTCTGTGTAGCTTCACCGAGTCAGTGGCTTAATAAAAGTCTACTCAGAGCAAAACATTGTCACAATAAAGGCTTGTCAACACCTGTGTCTTCAGACTCTCTTACCTTGGGCTTGGAGACTTCGACTTTAGGTAGAGGGTCAGTGGGCGGATACGTTGATAGTCGACGTTGACTGGAGATGAGATGGAGAGATGGAGCGTCGTGCAGAAGAACCCTGGCCTTACTGATCACCTCGTCTGACTTCAGCAGGTTCTGCATCATCAACTTCAGCAGCTCTGTACGGAAGACTAGGGAGTGTAAGGAGACAGGTGAGCCATCAGGTGCGAGAGACAGGTGAACGTTTAAGTAGAGTAGACGAGACAGTAAACAAGTGAGTCGTCAGATACGATAGATGAAATTAGTAACATTGTTAACAGACAGAAGAGCTGTCAGGTATGTTAGATGAGAGAAGTGAAAGTTTGAATGTAATATTTGCCCCGATAGAAATGTGATTACCTAAAAATAAGTGTATATATACATGTGCATACTCGGCACATGTGCAACATCTGGGTAGCTTTATTCACACACACACACACACACACACAGCTTTATTCAGTAGACGGTTCGCCAACCAGTGGCTTTATCAATATAATACAGAAGACTAAAGAGTTAGACGATGAGGTAATCAATCCCACAGCCTTGGAGCGGGTGCTGACAGGTGAGGTAATCAGTCCCTTAGCCTAGGAGGGGGTGTCGCACAAGTGTCTACACCATTTTGTCAGTATTATTCAGTATTATATAGCACTCATATACTCACATATTACTCACCTGGAAGAGTTAACGGTGAGTGATCTCTTTCTTCTCCCTCACTGAAGAGGCCTCACAGTGTTAAATAATACTATATTCACCTGCCATTTTATCCATGAATATGCACTAAACCCGTTAGGGATGTACACAGCTGTACAACAGGGAAGAGCAGATATAACAAGACCACAGATATAAAATAAAATCATTGGTCTTAACGAAAATTACAGATTTGAAACCAAAGTATACGTCTCCAACCAAAACACTAAACTTAAAAATAACTTACCGTCGTTAAACGCGTCATGAAAATCGTTCCTGAGCTAAACTAACCACAAAAATCACATTACATAAAAAATCATCAGTCACACAAAATCCAAAATTCTCTCCATGTCAAAACCTACAAATTAGGCCTAAAATTTTCCTGAAGGGTCAAGGAGGCTGCCTTCCAGACTGCAGTCAACATGAGCTGCCTTCCACACTGCAGTCAACATGAGCTGCCTTCCAGACTGCTGTCAACATGAGCTGCCTTCCAGACTGCTGTCAACATGAGCTGCCTTCCACACTACAGTCAACATGAGCTGCCTTCCACACTACAGTGAACATGAGCTGCCTTCCAGACTGCAGTCAACATGAGCTGCCTTCCAGACTGCAGTCAACATGAGCTGCCTTCCAGACTGCAGTCAACATGAGCTGCCTTTGTAGATGAATGGTTCAGAGAACCGACATGTTGATAAATTAGACACATGTGCAACTCTTGGGTATCTTTATTGAGGAAACGTTTCGCCACACAGTGGCGAAACGTTTTGTATGGGCTGATGAAGCCACTGTGTGGCGAAACGTTTCCTCAATAAAGATACCCAAGAGTTGCACATGTGTCTAATTTATCATGAGCTGCCTTCCAGACTGCAGTCAACATGAGCTGCCTTCCACACTGCAGTCAACATGAGCTGCCTTCCAGACTGCAGTCAACATGAGCTGCCTTCCACACTACAGTGAACATGAGCTGCCTTCCACACTGCAGTCAACATGAGCTGCCTTCCACACTGCAGTCAACATGAGCTGCCTTCCACACTGCAGTGAACATGAGCTGGGCCTTCCACACTGCAGTGAACATGAGCTGCCTTCCACACTGCAGTGAACATGAGCTGCCTTCCACACTGCAGTGAACATGAGCTGCCTTCCACACTGCAGTGAACATGAGCTGCCTTCCACACTGCAGTGAACATGAGCTGCCTTCCACACTGCAGTCAACATGAGCTGCCTTCCACACTGCAGTCAACATGAGCTGCCTTCCACACTGCAGTGAACATGAGCTGCCTTCCACACTGCAGTCAACATGAGCTGCCTTCCACACTGCAGTGAACATGAGCTGCCTTCCACACTGCAGTCAACATGAGCTGCCTTCCACACTGCAGTCAACATGAGCTGCCTTCCACACTGCAGTCAACATGAGCTGCCTTCCACACTGCAGTGAACATGAGCTGCCTTCCACACTGCAGTCAACATGAGCTGCCTTCCACACTGCAGTCAACATGAGCTGCCTTCCACACTGCAGTGAACATGAGCTGCCTTCCACACTGCAGTGAACATGAGCTGCCTTCCACACTGCAGTGAACATGAGCTGCCTTCCACACTGCAGTGAACATGAGCTGCCTTCCACACTGCAGTGAACATGAGCTGCCTTCCACACTGCAGTGAACATGAGCTGCCTTCCACACTGCAGTCAACATGAGCTGCCTTCCACACTGCAGTCAACATGAGCTGCCTTCCACACTGCAGTGAACATGAGCTGCCTTCCACACTGCAGTCAACATGAGCTGCCTTCCAACACTGCAGTCAACATGAGCTGCCTTCCACACTGCAGTGAACATGAGCTGCCTTCCACACTGCAGTCAACATGAGCTGCCTTCCACACTGCAGTGAACATGAGCTGCCTTTCCACACTGCAGTGAACATGAGCTGCCTTCCACACTGCAAGTCAACATGAGCTGCCTTCCACACTGCAGTCAAATGAGCTGCCTTCCACACTGCAGTCAAATGAGCTGCCTTCCACACGCAGTCAACATGAGCTGCCTTCCACACTGCAGTGAACATGAGCTGCCTTCCACCTGCAATGAACATGAGCTGCCTTCCACACTGCAGTGAACATGAGCTGCCTTCCACACTGCAGTGAACATGAGCTGCCTTCCACACTGCAGTCAACATGAGCTGCCTTCCACACTGCAGTGAACATGAGCTGCCTTCCACACTACAGTGAACATGAGCTGCCTTCCACACTGCAAGCCACTATATTATAAATCACTTTAAAACTCTTTGAGGAAGGTTAAAATTATATATATATATATATATATATATATATATATATATATATATATATATATATATATATATATATATATATATATATATATATATATATTTTATATATATATATATATATATATATATTATATAAATATATATAATATATATATATTTATATAATATAATATATTATATATTCTTCCTGCGAGTTTTCAATATAACGTTGTTTCCTTACTCTGAAACAGTAAAGTAAATGTGTGTGTGTGTGTGTGTGTGTGTGTGTGTGTGTGTGTGTGTGTGTGTGTGTGTGTGTGTGTGTGTGTGTGTGTCTGTGTCTGTGTCTGTGTGTGTGTGTGCGTGTGTGTTTGTGTGTGTGTTTGAGTGTGTTTGTTGCCACAGAATGTTGGTGCTACACGGGAGGGCCAGACACCAGGCACTGCCCCACCATGGTGGTGCCAGTGTTAAAGCAGACAACCTCACACCTTCGGCATCCAACTTCAAGTGAGAGTGCCATTCCCCCGACAGCAGTGCCAACCACCCACAGCAGTGCCATAAACAGCAGTGCAACTATTTGTATATGTGAGTGTGTGTGTGTGTGTGTGTGTGTGGTGTGTGTGTGTGTGTGTGTGTGTGTGTGTGTGTGTGTGTACTCACCTAATTTTACTCACCTAATTGTAGTTGCAGGAGTCGAGACTCAGCTCCTGGCCCCACTTCTTCACTGACTGCTACTGGGTCCTCCCTCTCCTTGCTCTATGAGCTATATCATACCTCGTCTTAAAACTATGTATGGTTCCTACCTCCACTACATCACTTGCCAGGCTATTCCACTTCCTAACAACTCTGTGGCTGAAGAAATACTTCCTAACATCCCTTTGGCTCATTTGAATCTTCAACTTCCAGTTGTGACCCCTTGTTTCTGTGCCCCATCTCTGGAACATCCTGTCTCTGTCCACGTTATCTATTCCACACAGTATTTTGTATGTTGTTATCATGTCACCCCTGACCCTCCTGTCCTCCAGCGTCGTCAGACGTGTGTGTGTGTGTGTGTGTGTGTGTGTGTGTGTGTGTGTGTGTGTGTGTGTGTGTGTGTGTGTGTGTGTGTGTGTGTGTGTGTGTGTGTGTGTGTGTGTGAGCATGTGTGTACCCACTCAACAAATGTATTATTCTCTCTGAGAGCCAAACTGTCTTTCCCCAAACGTGTAGTCAGCGAATCATATTTTCCATGCCCTGAGTTATCCAAGTGGCGACTTCTCTGATTGGCGGGAGGAGAACAGACACTCAGGAACCCCATGCACGCTGCAGACGGGGTGACAGTGCTTGCAAGACTTCACTGTGTGAGGTAATGCAAGCAATCTTTATTTCCTGAAGGACAGAGATGTCACGCAACTGAGAGAGAGAGAGAGAGAGCTGTCACTGCACGACCTACTCTCCGCCTCCCCATCCTTTCGCGGGACAGTGCCAAGAGAATAGGGTAAGACTCATTGATTCACCGTAGATCTTCATCGTAGGATGAACAGCAGCAACTGTGGTCAGCGAGGTGTCGAGCCCCTGCCTCTAAACCCTTCGACCACTGTCATAGTTGGTTCCTAGTCTATGAAGGCTGATTTGATGGGCTTGACCCACACAAGCTTAATAACGTCAACAAAAACAGGCAGAAAAAAGTTTCTCTGTGTGTAGAGCTGCTACGCCTCCTTAACCTGCTGGTAAACTCCTCAGGTACCTTGTGTATACCTCATCAGTTACTCTGTTGAATAAAGTTTCCCTAGTTTGTCTTATATACGACTGGTTGCGCTATTCGCGATGAATTTTATATACCAATAATTCAATAGTGCCTTATTGTGTTGCAGAGGTTTGAGACCTCTGCAACACAACTGTCATCAAAGATTTATTAAATTATACCGTGAATTAAGGAAAGATTCTGGACTTCACTTTACTAAACAGACGAAGCAAATGCAATAGTAATTATGGACAAGGTAGATTATAGTGGAAAAATAAACATATTAGAAGACAGTGGTACTTACATGCCCCTTAAATTCAACACATTCCCAGAACAATACTTAGTAGTCAATGATTTCTGAGGCTCAACCCACTAATTAGTACATTTCTTGCCTAATGATAAGAGTCTTCTACTGGCTGATACAATTAACATTCTAACACTTAGTGTAACAAGATCCTTCAGTGAAGTCAAGAGTCAATATATTCATTATCATAACCCCCCCCAGGGAGGTTCCTTGATGCTGGTGAGGGGCTCTTGATCTAGTGAATTGGATTTGTGCTCCGGTTCCCTCAATTGAGCCTGGTTGCCTTCCACTCCCCACAAGGCGCTGTATCATTCCTACGGGTTTAGCGCTCCCCATGATAACAATAATCATTACCATATTATACACTACATATTACCATACTGTACACAGTACATGTTACCATACTGTACACTGCACATGTTGCCATACTGTACACAGTACATGTTGCCATACTAGACACTGTACATATTACCATACTGTACACTGTACATGTTGCCATACTGTACACTGTACATGTTGCCATACTGTACTCTGTACATGTTGCCATACTGTACACTGTACATGTTGCCATACTGTACACTGTACATGTTGCCATACTGTACACTGTACATGTTGCCATACTGTACACTGTACATGTTGCCATGCTGTACACTGTACATGTTGCCATACTGTACACTGTACATGTTGCCATACTGTATACTGTACATGTTGCCATGCTAGGTACCTCATCAGGAGGTCCTTGAAGAGGTCAAGCTTACCTTCTTGGTTTTGTCGTGTGAGGTCCATGAGAATCCTCACCAGGAGGTCAGCCTTCTGGCGGGCAGAGTCGAACCGTGGCACCTGCAGCGGAGCCTGGACGAACCTGTGGAATACCGAAAACAAAAGCAGGTCAGAGCAGGTCAGTGGAGGTCTTGGCAAAGAGATGTTTCCTAGACACAGTAACCATGACAGGATCTGAGGATCCTGTAATTAGTAAAGGTGTTCGTGTATTTACCAATCTCTCTATTTCTCTCTCTCTTTCACACCACACACACACACACACACACACACACACACACACACACACACACACACACACACACACACACACACACACACACACACACACACACACGCACACACACACACACACACACACACATACACACTCAGGCACACAAGTGGACAATCAGGAGCCCATGTCCAATTATAATGGAGATTTGGACACGCCGCGTCTCATCTCTCACAGGAACCTCCATCCCTTCCATCTCCATTTCTCCATTTTACAGTCTCTTTTTATCTTTCTAATCCTATCTTTCTTTCAATTTCCTTCTCTCTCTCTTTCTGTCTCAATATATTTACCTCCTGTGTGTGTGTGTGTGTGTGTGTGTGTGTGTGTGTGTGTGTGTGTGTCATCCACCGAGGCAGGGTGACCCGGAAAAGAAGAAACACTTATATCATCATTCACTCCATCACTGTCTTGCCAGAGGTTTTACGAACAAATCAAGTGTTAAAATCCATAGTGATCATCTTGCAAGCTGTGGTGCGAACACTTGCTCCCTCGGATACAAGAATGATTACCGACAGCTTGACTGGCCAGAGACGAGGTTAGAGACAGTGGATCGAGCCCACGGACACTAAACTCTCATGGATTGAAGGCTTCAGATAAAACTGATCGACTAGTAAGCTAAACGTGTTTCAGCTTTTGGAAACATGATCCCCGTATCACATAACCCCAGCCTTCTCTACCTCAATGCTAGCGCCTAGTTATGATAATAATAATAATAATAATAATAATAATAATAATAATAATAATAATAATAATAATAATAATAATAATAATAATAATAATAATAATAATAATAATAATATACATCAACGCTTGCAAGGCACATAGCAGCTCTACGTCACAGCCCTCACAAGGACCAGGAGCTTAAGCTTAGCCCTCTTAAGAAACAGAAACTGTAAATCAAATCTCTCCAGAGGAAGAGGAGCTGGAACCCAACCCAATCAAACCATCACTAATGTATCATAATAGAAAATTTATGTTGATTTCAGAATATATGAGAGAGATGTTGCTCATTTTAGTAAAGAAATTAGCGTAGCAACTTCCCTGTGTTAACCTCAGAATAACCTTTCTGATCGGCTTCAAACTTTTTACACTAATGTATTTAAATAAATAAAGGTACTGATTTTTATTGGACTGTATAAAGGCTAAACTATGCAGCTGGTGCACCATCACCCACCTGTGGTAAGGCTCAGCCATGCAGCTGGTGCACCATCACCCACCTGTGGTAAGGTTCAGCTATGCAGCTGGTGCACCATCACCCACCTGCAGTAAGGCTCAGCCATGCAGCTGGTGCACCATCACCCACCTGTAGTAAGGCTCAGCCATGCAGATGGTGCCCAGGTTGCCAGTGGTCAGCTGGGACGCCTCCTTCAGAGCTCTCTCCTTCATGTCGACGGTGTCCTGCACGAACAACACACACGATCACTTTCTCTCTATCCCAGTTCATGACAATATCGTGACTTAACAGTTCACAACTAACACACAATATCGTGACTTAACAGTTCACAACTAACACACAATATCGTGACTTAACAGTTCACAACTAACACACAAATATCGTGACTTAACAGTTCACAACTAACACACAATATCGTGACTTAACAGTTCACAACTAACACACAATATCGTGACTTAACAGTTCACAACTAACACACAATATCGTGACTTAACAGTTCACAACTAACACACAATATCGTGACTTAACAGTTCACAACTAACACACAATATCGTGACTTAACAGTTCACAACTAACACACAATATCGTGACTTAACAGTTCACAACTAACACACAATATCGTGACTTAACAGTTCACAACTAACACACAATATCGTGACTTAACAGTTCACAACTAACACACAAATATCGTGACTTAACAGTTCACAACTAACACACAATATCGTGACTTAACAGTTCACAACTAACACACAATATCGTGATTTAACAGTTCACAACTAACACACAATATCGTGACTTAACAGTTCACAACTAACACACAATATCGTGACTTAACAGTTCACAACTAACACACAATATGTGACTTAACAGTTCACAACTAACACACATAATCGTGACTTAACAGTTCACAACTAACACACAATATCGTGACTTAACAGTTCACAACTAACACACAATATCGTGACTTGACAGTTCACAACTAACACACAATATCGTGACTTAACAGTTCACAACTAACACACAATATCGTGACTTAACAGTTCACAACTAACACACAATATCGTGACTTAACAGTTCACAACTAACACACAATATCGTGACTTAACAGTTCACAACTAACACACAATAATCGTGACTTAACAGTTCACAACTAACACACAATATCGTGACTTAACAGTTCACAACTAACACACAATATCGTGATTTAACAGTTCACAACTAACACACAATATCGTGACTTAACAGTTCACAACTAACACACAATATCGTGACTTAACAGTTCACAACTAACACAATATCGTGACTTAACAGTTCACAACTAACACACAATATCGTGACTTAACAGTTCACAACTAACACACAATATCGTGACTTAACAGTTCACAGCTAACACACAATACCGTGACTTAACAGTTCACAACTAACACAATACCGTGACTTAACAGTTCACAACTAACACACAATACCGTGACTTAACAGTTCACAACTAACACACAATACCGTGACTTAACAGTTCACAACTAACAAAATACAGTGACTTAACAGTTCACAACTAACACACAATACCGTGACTTAATAGTTCGCAACTAACACACAATACAGTGACTTAACAGTTCACAACTAACACACAATACAGCTACTTAACAGTTCACAACTAACACACAATACAGTGACTTAACAGTTCACAACTAACACACAATACCGTGACTTAACAGTTCACAACTAACACACAATACAGTAACTTAAACAGTTCACAACTAACACACAATACCGTGACTTAACAGTTCACAACTAACACACAATACAGTAACTTAACAGTTCACAACTAACACACAATACAGTAACTTAACAGTTTCACAACTAACACATAATATAGTAACTTAACAGTTCACAACTAACACACAATACAGTTACTTAACAGTTCACAACTAAACACACAATACAGCAACTTAACAGTTCACAACTAACACACAATACAGTTACTTAACAGTTCACAACTAACACACAATACAGTAAGTTAACAGTTCACAACTAACACACAATACAGTAAGTTAACAGTTCACAACTAACACACAATACAGTAAGTTAACAGTTCACAACTAACACACAATACAGTAAGTTAACAGTTCACAACTAACACACAATACAGTAACTTAACAGTTCACAACTAACACACAATACAGTGACTTAACAGTTCACAACTAACACACAATATCGTGACTTGACAGTTCACAACTAACACACAATATCGTGACTTAACAGTTCACAACTAACACACAATATCGTGACTTAACAGTTCACAACTAACACACAATATCGTGACTTAACAGTTCACAACTAACACACAATATCGTGACTTAACAGTTCACAACTAACACACAATATCGTGACTTAACAGTTCACAACTAACACACAATATCGTGACTTAACAGTTCACAACTAACACACAATATCGTGATTTAACAGTTCACAACTAACACACAATATCGTGACTTAACAGTTCACAACTAACACACAATATCGTGACTTAACAGTTCACAACTAACACAATATCGTGACTTAACAGTTCACAACTAACACACAATATCGTGACTTAACAGTTTCACAACTAATACACAATATCGTGACTTAACAGTTCACAGCTAACACACAATACCGTGACTTAACAGTTCACAACTAACACACAATATCGTGACTTAACAGTTCACAACTAACACACAATACCGTGACTTAACAGTTCACAACTAACACACAATACCGTGACTTAACAGTTCACAACTAACAAAATACAGTGACTTAACAGTTCACAACTAACACACAATACCGTGACTTAATAGTTCGCAACTAACACACAATACAGTGACTTAACAGTTCACAACTAACACACAATACAGCTACTTAACAGTTCACAACTAACACACAATACAGTGACTTAACAGTTCACAACTAACACACAATACCGTGACTTAACAGTTCACAACTAACACACAATACAGTAACTTAACAGTTCACAACTAACACACAATACCGTGACTTAACAGTTCACAACTAACACACAATACAGTAACTTAACAGTTCACAACTAACACACAATACAGTAACTTAACAGTTCACAACTAACACATAATATAGTAACTTAACAGTTCACAACTAACACACAATACAGTTACTTAACAGTTCACAACTAACACACAATACAGTAACTTAACAGTTCACAACTAACACACAATACAGTTACTTAACAGTTCACAACTAACACACAATACAGTAAGTTAACAGTTCACAACTAACACACAATACAGTAAGTTAACAGTTCACAACTAACACACAATACAGTAAGTTAACAGTTCACAACTAAACACACAATACAGTAAGTTAACAGTTCACAACTAACACACAATACAGTAAGTTAACAGTTCACAACTAACACACAATACAGTAACTTAACAGTTCACAACTAACACACAATACAGTGACTTAACAGTTCACAACTAACACACAATACAGTGACTTAACAGTTCACAACTAACACACAATACAGTTACTTAACAGTTCACAACTAACACACAATACAGTTACTTAACAGTTCACAACTAACACACAATACAGTGACTTAACAGTTCACAACTAACACACAATACAGTTACTTAACAGTTCACAACTAACACACAATACAGTGACTTAACAGTTCACAACTAACACACAATACAGTTACTTAACAGTTCACAACTAACACACAATACAGTAACTTAACAGTTCACAACTAACACACAATACAGTTACTTAACAGTTCACAACTAACACACAAGTATCTGACATTACTTAAACAGTTTTCTTAAACTAAACACAAAACTTTAGGACGACAGATTGTATAATGAATGGTGACTGGTTTCCATGGTTACTGAAGTGCTTGTGTCTGAGTGAAAATATACATAGATTTTTTGAGCGAACCCTCAGTGAAAGACTTGAAATATTAATGGATTAAATCAAAATGGTTTGATAGGTTAATTTTTTGGCTATTGATTATAACCTCAAAGGATTTTTTTAATTAACTACGGAATTTAGAAAAAAAGTGTATCGCAGTGTAGAGGTTGAGAGTCAAGGTTAGAGTGTAGTGTAGTGTAGTGTAGTGTAGTGTAGTGTAGTGTAGTGTAGTGTAGTGTAGTGTAGTGTGGTGTAGTGTAGTGTAGTGTAGTGTAGTGTAGTGTAGTGTAGTGTAGCGTGGTGTAGTGTAGTGTAGCGTAGTGTAGTGCAGTGTAGTGTAGTGTAGTGTAGTGTAGCGTAGTGTAGTGCAGTGTAGTGTAGTGTAGTGTAGGGGTAGCGTATGTAGTGTAGTGTAGGGGGTGTAGCATAGTGTAGTGTGTGTAGTGTAGTGTGGTAGTGTGTATGTAGTGTAGCGTAGTAGTGTAGATGTAGTGTGGTGTAGCATAGTGTAGTGTAGTGTAGTGTAGTGTAGTGTAGTGTAGTGTAGTGTAGTGTAGTGTAGTGTAGTGTAGTGTAGTGTAGTGTAGTGTAGTGTAGTGTAGTGTAGTATAGTGTAGTATAGTGTAGTGTAGTGTAGTGTAGTGTAGTGTAGTGTAGTGTAGTGTAGTGTAGTGTAGTGTAGTGTAGTGTAGTGTAGTGTAGTGTAGTGTAGTGTAGTGTAGCATAGTGTAGTGTAGTGTAGTGTAGTGTAGTGTAGTGTAGTGTAGTGTAGTGTAGTGTAGTGTAGTGTAGTGTAGTGTAGTGTAGTAGTGTAGTGTAGTGTAGTGTGTGTAGTGTATGTAGTGTAGTATAGTGTAGTATAGTGTAGTGTAGTGTAGTGTAGTGTAGTGTAGTGTAGTGTAGTGTAGTGTAGTGTAGTGTAGTGTAGTGTAGTGTAGTGTGGTGTAGTGTAGTGTAGTGTAGTGTGGTGTAGTGTAGTGTAGTGTAGTGTAGTGTAGTGTAGTTTAGTGTAGTGTAGTGCAGTGTAGTGTAGTGTACTGTAGTGTAGTGTATTGTATTGTATTGTATTGTATTGTAGTGTAGTGTAGTGTGGTGTAGTGTAGTGTAGTGCAGTGCAGTGTGGTGTAGTTTAGTGTAGTGTAGTGCAGTGTAGTGTAGTGTACTGTAGTGTAGTGTATTGTATTGTATTGTATTGTAGTGTAGTGTAGTGTAGTGTAGTGTAGTGTAGTGTAGTGTAGTGTAGTGTAGTGTAGTGTAGTGTAGTGTAGTGTAGTGTAGTGTAGTGTAGTGTATTGTAGTGTAGTGTAGTGTAGTGTAGTGTAGTGTAGTGTAGTGTATTGTATTGTATTGTATTGTATTGTATTGTAGTGTAGTGTATGTAGTGTAGTGTAGTGTATTGTATTGTAGTGTAGTGTAGTGTAGTGTAGTGTAGTGTATTGTATTGTAGTGTAGTGTAGTGTAGTGTAGTGTATTGTATTGTAGTGTAGTGTAGCGTAGCGTAGCGTAGTGTAGTGTAGTGTAGTGTAGAGTAGTGTAGCGTAGTGTAGTGTATTGTATTGTAGTGTATTGTAGTGTAGTGTAGTGTATTGTAGTGTAGTGTAGTGTATTGTAGTGTAGTGTAGTGTAGTGTAGTGTAGTGTAGTGTATTGTATTGTAGTGTAGTGTAGTGTAGTGTAGTGTAGTGTAGTGTAGTGTAGTGTAGTGTAGTGTAGTGTAGTGTAGTGTAGTGCAGTTAATTGGTTGTATATACGTCAGGATGATATACTTAAGTTCAGGTTAGGTTAAGTTATGTTAGGTTAGGTTAGGTTAGGTTCGCCAAGAAACAGGACAAGCGTTTCCTGACGCGGGTCTTAGTAATATGATGACCAGCAGCTGGAGCTTTCTATTACCTGACCGAGGCCTTCCGCTGGCTTACCACTCCACCCCTTTAAATATTAAGGTTATGATTATAACCCTTTCTTAAGAACAAGTATGATTCCTGTCTGTAAGTCTAACATTGTCAGTTCCAGCGGTCGTCACCCCCCTCCAGGGTCGGTTCCAGGGGTCGTCACCCCCTCCGGGATCGGTTCCAGGGATCGTCCCCCCCCCCGCTTTCGCGGTCTGGTTCTAGACCAGGACCAGTAACAATTCCAGAGATCCTTTTAGTGAGATACACACTATCTCTCTCTCTCTCTCTCTCTCTCTCTCTCTCTCTCAGAGAGAGAGAGAGAGAGAGAGAGAGAGAGCGTCACCGGCAGGCCCAGATAGTGATACTTAAGATGCCTCACAGGAAATTAGAGAAAGATAAACTCTTCCCGAGTTATCTCAGAGATGCTGAAGGTAGCACCACCAGGAGGTAGCTGATGGTAGCACCACCACCAGGCAGCTGATGGTAGCACCACCTGCAAGCAGCTGAAGGTAGCACTACCAGCAGGCTGCTGAAGGTAACATCACCAGCAGACTGCTGAAGGTAGCATCACCAGCAGACTGCTGAAGGTAGCATCACCAGCAGACTGCTGAAGGTAGCATCACCAGCAGACTGCTGAAGGTAGCATCACCAGCAGGCAGCTGATGGTAGCACCACCAACAGGCAGCTGATGGTAGCACCACCAACAGGCAGCTGATGGTAGCACCACCAACAGGCAGCTGATGGTAGCACCACCAACAGGCAGCTGATGGTAGCACCACCAACAGGCAGCTGATGGTAGCACCACCAACAGGCAGCTGGTAGTACTTCTCTCAGAGTGGAGTGAGTAGACCAGGAGCTAGACAACAGGTCTAGGATGGGTGACACAGACCGTGGAAGTAGACCAGAAGGTAGAATTAGCCCTCAGGTAGAAGCAACTAGAGTCCTGGGATACAAAGCTGTTACTAGCATCCCAATATTACCCGCATTTCCTGGGATCAAGAGCCCATCACCAGCATCAAGATACCTCATCTTCACTTGCAATACATAACTCATGAAATCATAATAACATGACTGCAACAAATGACAAGAGAGAAAGGTGTTCGATCCCATGGCTTCGATACCCGCCCCTACTGTGATTTGATTTACAATATATAATTAACTTGGCGGGACGTGACAGGTTCGCTGTTGAACACCAAAATAGGAGCCGCCAATAGACAATTACAGGCAGTGTGGAGGAGGAAGGAAGAAATAAGACAAGATATAGAAAAGGAAATGTGTTCCACACTTGTCTCCCAAACTTGCCAGACGCCATCACCAAATTTCTCCACCAACTTAAAAATGGAAAGATTTCATCAGGGCGCGTGATGGGACCCTCCCTCCTACCCCTTCCCACTCCCATTCCTCTCCTCCCTATTTCCCCTCCCCTTTCCCCTGCCCTCATCTCTCCCTTACCCCTTTCTCTTCCCCTCCTAAACTCTCTCATGTATCTTACCCAACCTTCCCACCCAACCTTCCCACCCCACCTCTCCACCCCACCTCTCCACCCCACCTCTCCACCCACTTCTCCACCTCACCTCTCAGCCCACCTCTCTACCCCACTTCTCAGCCCATCTCCTCACCCCCAAGTCTCAGCCAAGTTCTCCATCTCCTTTCTCAGCCCACCTCCAGAACCCACCTCCAGAGCCACCTCAGCCACTCAGAACCCACTCCAGTACCACTCGAACCCACCTCCAGAACCCACCTCCAGAACCCACCTCCAGTACCCACCTCCAGAACCCACCTCCAGAACCCACCTCCAGAACCCACCTCCAGTACCCACCTCCAGAACCCACCTCCAGAACCCACCTCCAGAACCCACTTCCAGAACCCACCTTTCCATCCCATCTCGCGTCTTTACCTCTCCAACAACAATGGAGACATGTTGGTGATCCTTTTCCTCTCTCTTCTTCCATTACAAACACATTGTCATTCCCTCATCCCTAGAGCCCCCCATTTTCCCCTACCTCCTCTCTCCACTCCCTCCCCCTCTCTCTTTATCACCCCACATACCCTCTCCCTTTCTCCCTCATTCCTCTCTCTCTCTTCCTTCCTACTTCGGCCTTCCCACCTCTCCCTTTCTCAACACACAAGACCAAAGACTCATATTTTTTCCCACTACCTTCGTCCCTCATCACGCCATCAATTTACGTGTAAAACACCTCCTGCCTCAACACCCCCCGAGACCCACTTCAATTCAGATACTGATATATGTATTTCTTATTTTGATTCTTGTTCTCTGAGTGGCAGCGACAGGTAACCAGGACCTTCACTCGCTTTTGTTTGTCTCAGTATTGCCTCTTCCACTACTTCTCCATTTCCTTCTTTCTTCCTCTGTTTCCCATCCCTGTCCTCTGTCTTATTATATATATATATATATATATATATATATATATATATATATATATATATATATATATATATATATATATATATATATATATATATACATATATAATAATATATATATATATATATATATATATATAATATATATATATATATATATATATATATATATATATATATATATATATACATATATATATATATACTGGCTCCCTCACCTTCGTGTGTTAGTGTGACTAGTTAATGGACCAAGTCGGACCGAAACCTCGTCATAAGTTTCTCTCTCTCCTGCGTAAGGATTATTTGTGTACAGAAACACAAAGTTCTTCTTGAGAATCTCTGTTACATACTCACATTAGGATCTTGAAGACTGGAACGTGGTGCTGGACAATGGAACTTGAACACCGCAACGTGATATTGAACAATGAAACTTGAAATAGCGGAACGTGATACGGAACAATAAAAGTTGAACACAGAAACGTGATACGGAACAACACTACAAGCTTCTAGCATCTCATAAATGCTTTAAGAGCATAACTGAATTTGACAAAAAGAATTATTTGAAATGAATTGGGAACAAAAATATGCAGTGTGAAGAGTTCTTCCTTCCTGGGAAGCTTTCATGAAAGGCTGGTGAGAAGGAAAATGTGAAATGAAAAGGTGTTTACCGAGAATGTTGTCTGCAAGAAGAATTTGATTATAAAGACCAAGAGGGGTATTACTTGAGGTGGATGGTGGGTAGGTTGACACTGTTGATGACGCTACACCGGCGGTTGATGACACAAACCCCTGACCACCGACTGGTTGGCTACAAGAAGTTCTCACTACCAACCGGTTGACTACATAAGCTCTGACCACCAACTGGTTGGCTACAAGAAGCTCTTACTACCAACCGGTTGACTACAAGAACCTCTCACCACCAACCGGTTGACTACAACAAGCTTTCACTACCAACCGGTTGGTGATAGCAAATACGATTTTTTCCAGTCTTGATATTGTGATTTTTTTTTTATTCCTTGCCATAAGCTCTCAAGCTTCCATAGCAAATGCGATGGAAAATAGCACATAGACAATTGAACAGCGATTACTGTGAATGCGTAGTTCAGTTTTGGAATTGCTTTTTCAATCGCATTTACGTTAATATGCGATAAATAGAGAAGCATTGTAGGAGAAGTGACCGTATTGACATTAACGCTGAAGGGAGAGCTCTAGACTCGAAAGAGTCACACAGCGCCCACAGTCGATGTCATCACGATGTTCTTGACTATACTGAGTGGGTCTAGAAGGGTCCCAGACCAGAGGAGACCTGCAGCAGATATTACAGCGATCTAGCGATAGGATTATGCACAAATTGCCCACACGCAGGAGAGTGGAGCTCACGACGACGTTTCGGTCCGACTTGGACCATTTACAAAGCCACGGTATTGTGCCTTCCTGTTCTATAACAAGTCGGAGGACAAAAAGGCAAGTACCGTGACTGGAACAACAGACAAATAACCCGCACATAGAAGACAAACGTATAATATTTCGTTACGACTTGTGGGTTATTGTGTATTAAGAAACTGAAATATAAATGTGACACAAAGAATACTTGAAGTGCTGCCTTACCATTTGCTGCGAGGTGGTCACCGCCCGCGCCTGCAGCTGCGAGGTGGTCACCGCCCGCACCCGCAGTGGGCGGTGGGTCACTCCACCCACCAGGACCACCACAATGACCACCCACACGATGCCACGCCCACACAACAACATTCTTCACGCTCATTGGTCCTGCACGAGAGAAAACACACCTATAAGAAGCAGTAGTAATGCAAAATTGAGTTCAATTGTACAATAAAATAATAATAATAATAATAATAATAATAATAATAATAATAATAATAATAATAATAATAATATATATAATATATATATATATATATATATAATTTATATATATTATATATATATATATATATATATATATATATATATATATATATATATATATATATATATATATATATATATATATATATATATATATATATATATATATATATATATATAATTTCGGTTCTCAGTCTGTGATACCCACTGTACAACACATGCCGAGTCTGACCCACTTAAATTAATTGGGTGGTTGATGTCGTTAAGGTTACAACCACTGTAATGATGTGCAAGTTAAACCCTTGTTGCTCTCCAACCAGAGTTATGGCCATGAAAATTAGAGGCGGAGGGACACCATGTAGCAGTGACTGAGGGACACCACGTAGCAGTGACTGAGGGACACCATGTAGCAGTGACTGAGGGACACCACGTAGCAGTGACTGAGGGACACCATGTAGCAGTCACTGAGGGACACCATGTAGCAGTGACTGAGGGACACCACGTAGCAGTGACGAGGGACACCTGTAGCAGTCACTGAGGGACACCATGTAGCAGTGACTGAGGACACCACGTGCAGTGACTGAGGGCACATGTAGCAGTGACTGAGGGACACCACGTAACAGTGACTGAGGGACACCACGTAGCAGTGACTGAGGGACACCATGTAGCAGTGACTGAGGGACACCACGTAGCAGTGACTGAGGGACACCACGTAGCAGTGACTGAGGGACACCATGTAGCAGTGACTGAGGGACACCATGTAGCAGTGACTGAGGGACACCATGTAGCAGTCACTGAGGGACACCATGTAGCAGTGACTGAGGGACACCACGTAGCAGTGACTGAGGGACACCATGTAGCAGTGACTGAGGGACACCATGTAGCAGTCACTGAGGGACACCATGTAGCAGTGACTGAGGGACACCACGTAGCAGTGACTGAGGGACACCACGTAGCAGTGACTGAGGGACACCATGTAGCAGTGACTGAGGGACACCATGTAGCAGTGACTGAGGGACACCACGTAGCAGTGACTGAGGGACACCATGTAGCAGTGACTGAGGGACACCATGTATCAGTGACTGAGGGACACCATGTAGCAGTGACTGAGGGACACCATGTAGCAGTGACTGAGGGACACCATGTAGCAGTGACTGAGGGACACCATGTAGCAGTGACTGAGGGACACCATGTAGCAGTGACTGAGGGACACCATGTAGCAGTGACTGAGGGATACCATGTAGCAGTGACTGAGGGACACAATGTATCAGTGACTGAGGGACACCATGTAGCAGTGACTGAGGGACACCATGTAGCAGTGACTAAGGGACACCATGTAGCAGTGACTGAGGGACACCATGTAGCAGTGACTGAGGGACACCATGTAAGCAGTGACTGAGGGCACCATGTAGCAGTGACTTAGGGACACCATGTAGCAGTGACTGAGGGACACCATGTAGCAGTGACTGAGGGACACCATGTAGCAGTGACTGAGGGATACCATGTAGCAGTGACTGAGGGACACAATGTATCAGTGACTGAGGGACACCATGTAGCAGTGACTGAGGGACACCATGTAGCAGTGACTGAGGGACACCATGTAGCAGTGACTGAGGGACACCATGTAGCAGTAACTGAGGGACGCCTTGCAACAGTAGCTGAGGGACGCCCTGTAACAGTGGTTGAGGGACGCCCTGTAGCAGTGGCTTATGGACGCCCTGTAGGAGCGGTTGAGGGACGCCCTGTAACAGTGGTTGAGGGACGCCCTGTAGCAGTGGCTGATGGACGCCCTGTAGGAGTGGTTGAGGGACTCCCTGTAGCAGTGGCTGGGGGACGCCCTGTAGCAGTGACTGAGGGACACCTTGTAGCAGTGGCTGATGGACGCCCTGTAGCAGTGGCTGATGGACGCCCTGTAGTAGTGATTGAGAGACGCCTTGTAGCAGTGACTGAGGGACGCCCTGTAGCAGTGGCTGAGGGACCCCCTGTAACAGTGACTGAGGGACGCCTTGCAACAGTAGCTGAGGGACGCCCTGTAGCAGTGGCTGAGGGACGCCCTGTAGCAGTGGCTGATAGATGCCCTGTAGCAGTGGCTGAGGGACGCCCTGTAGCAGTGGCTGAGGGACGCTCTGTAGCAGTGACTGAAGGACGCCTTGTAGCAGTGACTGATAGACGCCCTGTAGCAGTGGCTGAGGGACGCCCTGTAGCAGTGGCTGAGGGACGCCCTGTAGCAGTGACTGAGGGACGCCTTGTAGCAGTGACTGAGGGACGCCCTGTAGCAGTGACTGAGGGACGCCCTGTAACAGTGGCTGGGGGACGCCCTGTAGCAGTGACTGAGGGACGCCCTGTAGCAGTGACTGAGGGACGCCCTGTAGTAGTAGCTGAGGGACACCCTGTAACAGTGGCTGGGGGACGTCTTGCAACAGTGGCTGAGGGACGCCTTGCAACAGTGGCTGAGGGACGCCTTGCAACAGTGACTGAGGGACGCCTTGCAACAGTGGCTGAGGGACGCCTTGCAACAGTGGCTGAGGGACGCCATGTAGCAGGGGCTGAGCGACGCCCTGTAGCAGTGGCTGAGGGACGCCCTGTAGCAGTGACTGAGGGACGCCTTGTAGCAGTGACTGAGGGACGCCCTGTAGCAGTGACTGAGGGACGCCCTGTAGTAGTGGCTGAAGGACGCCTTGCAACAGTGGCTGAGGGACGCCTTGCAACAGTGGTTGAGGGACGCCTTGCAACAGTGGCTGAGGGACGCCTTGCAACTGGCTGAGGGACGCCTTGCAACAGTGGCTGAAGGACGCCTTGCAACAGTGGCTGAGGGACGCCTTGCAACAGTGGCTGAGGGACGCCCTGTAGCAGTGGCTGAGAGACGCCCTGTAGCAGTGGCTGAGGGACGCCCTGTAGCATAGGTTACAATATGAGAGACTGAGGGAGAGTGAGAGAGATAACTTAGCCACACAGAGACCAAGAACGACTATCTCTCTCTCTCTCTGTTTCTCTCTGTCTCTGTCTCTGTTCTCTCTGTTCTGTGCTCTCTCTCTACTCTACTCATCTCTCTCTCTCTCTCCTTCTCTCTCTCATCCAACTCTTCTCATCTCTCTCTTCTCTACTCTCTATCTCTCATCTCTCTACTCTCTTCTCTCTGGTATTCAGATCTCAGGTTTGTGATAATGGACGAGTGGTAACTCCATCACCAGTGGGGGGGGGGGAACGTCCTTCCTGACACGAACCATCGCAGGAGTTCTGAATGTTGATTAAACCAGACAGCCAGAGTTGAATTTTGAATCTCCAGGGATACCAATCTACCAATCACCATGGTACTGATCTGCCAGTCACCATGAACTGACCTGCCAATCACCATGGGACTGACTATCAATTCCATGGGATGACCATACCATATCACCATGGGATACTGACCTACCAGTCACATGAAACTGACCTGCCAACACCATGGACTGACCTACCAGTCACCATGAAACTGACCTGCCAATCACCATGGGACTGACCTATCAATCACCATGGGACTGACCTACCAATCACCATGGACTGACCTACCATCCCATGGGACTGACCTACCAATCACCATGGGACGACCTACCAATCACCATGGGACTGACTACTAATCACCATGGGACTGACCTACCAATCACCATGGACTGACCTACCAATCACCATGGGACTGACCTACCAATCACCATGGGACTGACCTACCAATCACCATGGGACTGACCTACCAATCACCATGGGACTGACCTACCAATCACCATGGGACTGACCTACCAATCACCATGGCAGTTTAGGCTTCACGGAAGATCATTTCTTTCTTACTGAATGACTGTTTTGATGTGTTTGAAAACATGAACAGATAGATAGATAAGAGAGAGAGAGAGACAGACAGACAGACAGAGAGATAGTTCTCTCTCTCAGTCAGATATTCACTACATGACAGTCAGGTGAGAGGAACCAGTCACTATAGCAACGGCTTATCGCTTCAGGATGAGGGGGGTAGAGGGAAAAGACCGGATAGAGGGGGCGGGGGAGAGGGGGTGGACGAGTGAGGTGGATAGAACGAGAAAGGAAAGTGAGAAAGAAGGAAAGGAATTGGAGAGGGAGGGTAAGGGATTGGTGGTATGGAAAGAGAAACAGTGACAGTAGCCGGAACAACAGTAATGGCAGCAGCTACAGTAATACTAACAGCAGCAACAGTAACAGTACCAGTAACAGTAGCAATAGCAGTAATAGTAGCAACAGCATTAACAGCAGAAGAAGTAACAACCGCAGTAGGAGTAACAGCAGTAACACTAAGAGCAACAACAGTAACAACAGTACTAGTAGCAGCAACAACAGCAGTAACAACAGCAATAGTAACAGTAGCAACACAAACAACGATAGAAATAGTATCAGTAACAACAGCAACAGCAGCAGCAGTAACAGTTGTAACAGTAACAACAACAGCAAAAGTAACAACACCAGCACCGGTAACTGTAGCAACAGCAAGAACAGCAACAGGAAGAACAGTAGCAACGGTAACAGCAGATGCAGCAGAAGCAACAGTATTATCAGCAGCAGTAACGGCAGCAGTAACACAGTCCGTAAAATACAGTAACAAATTGTTGTGTAAATTTCTGAGTGCCAGCTGTGTATGACGGATCAGGCTGTAGTGCCAGCTGTGTATGATGGGTCAGGCTGTAGTGCCAGCTGATGCATAACGTGTCAGGCTGTAGTGCCAGCTATGTATGACGAGTCAGGCTGTGAGGTGGGTCGACACTCAGTCTGCCACGACAAGCAAGAACGATTCTTGTAATGTCGGTATGAGAGTGCAGGCTTGTACAGATTGTACAGAGTTATTGTTACTAATATAGTAGATGGCCTTAAGAATAGTGCAGCAGTGAATGTACAGCCACTGA